TCCCTGAGGATGTGCTGAGAAAGATCATGCTCTATTGTTTTCAGGCAACTGTGTTTTCTAAAGCTCAGAGCTGTTACCGGTAGTTGTCAGCTGACTCCAATCCACCTGTACCAATGGATGATTTGGTTGTTGCGAAAAGATCGCGAGTTAGGCAACTTCGATCTCGGAGGTCGATGTCATTGGATGAGTGCAATATGGAGGCACCTCCACCTAGTCCAGAACCTGAGCGAAGCAGAGCAATCGTGGAGGAGCCTATGATAAACTCTGAATGTCAGAACGAATTGGTGAACTCTTTGGAGCGAATGGAGATTTTCGATCCTCACAAATTGAGGGAATCACTGGAGCTTGCTCTGTCTGGCGAACTTCACCGTGTTGATGAAAATATTCCAAGGGTTCATTCTGCTCCAATGTCCATGCCTGGAATAACCACTCCTGAGCGTATGGGACTGGATCTTCATTTGCCTTCTATTGACAGCTCCACTGAATCTTCACCGCCAATTCAATCATCACCAGCCTGCTCAAGGGACTACTCAGATTTTCGGTCAAGAAATGTCTTCGACAATTGCCGTAGTTTACCAGCATCAATATCTTTCCTAGCTGGCCTGGATCCGTCAATGCCCTATCGGGAACGCTCGTCCTCTCTAAAACGAATGCGAGATGACAGCTGCGCTGATGATCTTGATGGTCACGAATTGGGATGCTCCGTACCGAAAAGGTGTAGATTATTGTCGAACGACTTCTGTCACCCTAGCTCCGTGGACGATCCCCTTTATGCAAGTTCGTCTTCCTACTCACCTCGTTCCCTCATACTCCAGTAAGTGAATATTCTGTTGGCTTTTCATAGTTTCCATTGTGACACACACCCTTCGGGCTCCCTGTCTTCGGTCAGGGTGGCAGCCATATTGAGTACGCAGGCATGCCAACCGTGTCGAATAGCGGTTTATCGTCGCACATACCATAATGTACAGGACCGACCTGGCGTACTAGCACCTCACGACCGTCAAGCAAACTCAATCACCGGAGCACTTCTTGTAACATATCGGACATATCCACCATATCACTCCCTTCAAAGCCTGATTCGTAATTTTTTTTATTGCATTTATCACTTTATTCATCCCCTGACGTTGTGTTGTGTGTCTGTGATTGCCGTATACATATTTTTTTAATCTGCTGTACATAGCTTCGCCAGAGCTTCATGCCATTTGCTGTTAGGCATGACTACTGCTGGCTGGTTGATATCAAGCTGTGCTCGCCTCGTAGTAGTGTAGTAGTGCGGTCTGTGTAGCGAATAGAGCTAGCCATCACCACCGGTGTCCATATTTGTAGGGTGTGTCCTGATTTACAATTGCGGTCATGTACTGCCATTGTCTGTGTGGGCCACTAGTTTCCACCGCCCTCTTCCGCTGCCGCCGAGAGTGTGCTGTATATTCACGCCTCTATTTTTTTGTCGTCTTGTTCAAGAATTATTGAAAGTTGATTTATCCCATGCTGCCAAAGAATTGGTTTTGACGCTACCACATGAACTCTATATTTTTCCGATCCCTATAGCCGACCTGACTACCTACGGCGTGTACCCAGTGTCTGCCCATCCTCATCCTCTGCATCTCACCGTTTAGCCTTCATATCTGCTCCCATCGACTCTACCCTCTCTCCAATGCATAGAACTAGAAGCAAGAGCCACCTTCCTTTAGTATTACAATTGACATTACTAAACACATGTGCTATTTTTCGCGGGGATTTTCCCGCTACTGATTTTTCCACAGCACCTTTTAGTATGGACCTTTTCAACTATGTTTTTTTAAATAGCCTATCTGTATATCTGCATTAGCATCTGAGATCCGCAGTATAGTGTTCCACGCTCACCCGCACGCTGTCCACCGGTCTTAGCGCAAGACATGAGATTATATATTATTATATATGCGCTCACCTATTTCTGTTTTCACTCTTAACCACGACTAGGCCACTTGCTGGATCTTTGGCCGAGTCATGTATCCACCACCCGCCTTACTATGCGTGAGTGCAACCGTGTTCTGTCCTCGACAAACCTAAACCATCATACTCGCGTCTGTGTTGTGTGCGTGCGAACGTGTTTGGCTGTGTTGTGGGTACCTCTTGGGCGGTATTTGCCTTTGGCTGAGTATGAGCTCTGTGCTGTGTGTGTTGATGTGCGAGAGTGAGCTCTGTGGTGTGTTGGGTGATGTGCATGCCGTGGTTGGTCACCGCAAACGCTGCACAAGCGCTGTTATTAGATGTGTGTCTGGATGCTTGCTAATCTGGTGGAGATGCTGGCTGTTCTAGCTGCTTCCAATGTCGTGTTTCTTCTATGCGCGTGTGTTGCTAACACTGTTAGCACAGTTTTGCGACTCGACTGTACATGCTCGGAGAGTCTGCATTTGTACGTTTGCAATGAACTGCGGCTAATTATAGACGGCCTCAACAGGGCATTTGACTTTGCCATTGTCTAAAGTCTTCTGGATTCATGGTGCAGGCTGATTTCGAAGGCTCAAGACGGGTTTGAAGAAGACCCTTCTTATACTGAGTTATAGGCCATTCACACGACGTGTAAACACGTGCACGTGTGTGACCAAGATAACACTGGCAAACCGTGATCCAGTTCACACGGTGCTGGGCAAAATTGCAACCGTCAATGTATCCATAGTGACCTGAAAATGCCGGGAAATGTTCAATTTTGAATTTTCCCTTGTTCAAGCACTGTATTTGCAGTACGCACTTTCAACAACCGACACTTTTCCTGGCGTGCAAAGATAATTGCGCGCAAAAAGGCCTCGGCCAAGATTAAAAATCAGTTGCACGCGTGTGTCCAAGTTTATCGTATTCGAGTAAATATCCTTGGAAACGGTACGATAAAAGTAAGTTTGCCCGTCGTGTGAATGGCCTATTATTAGACCATTGAACAAAGCACCTTTGCTCGTCCATTCACATGACTTGCAAACAGTGATCTCCTGAAAATGCTGGGAAATTTTAATTTTTTAATTTTCCCCTTTGAAATAATAGTGCACACACTGCATTTGCTGCGCATACTTTCAACAACCGACGCTTTTGCTCGCATGCAAAGTACAATCATGAGCACAAAGGCCCCGGCCAAGTTCAAAACTCAGTTGCACGCGTGTGTCCATGTTGGTGTGCACGGGTAGTCGGGTACCCGTGAGGACCTCGGACAGAATAGTACCCGAAGTTGCAGATGACATCATGTACAGTGCACGTGTACAAATTCATGTAATACTCCGCATGTCTACCTAGTGTGTAAGGGAAGGGGTGCACTGTGGTGTTACCATGGAAACATTACTCGGTAGGGTACCAGTGGAGAACTACCCGAACCCGATACCCAAAGAAAATGCTACCCGGCTCAGCCCTAGTGGGAATGGCCTATTACACCCTGGATGCAACAGAGCACACGCACACACAGCGGGCGCAAACTCTTTGGCACACCGCCACATGCTCTCTCCCGGGGAATATCGCCGAAGAAAATCTCAAAACGTGCGCCACAAATCGCGATAAGTATTGGCTTCAAGCGCGGCGAAATTCTGGGGCGCTTGAGTTTGTCCTGCATTTAATCGTTAGTGTTGGACAAAACAGATGACTTGTAAACTTACGGTCCTCTTTTTTTTAACTTGAGATAACTTTGGGTAAACTTGTACGTACTCTTATTTGGCCAATCTACATTGTACAGGGTTTGCCTGTCAGAAAGCTGTCTATCATAAAGAAGAGGGTTTTAAGAGTGTGACCGGACGTTTACAGCATGTAATCTTCAGCATATTGTGCTGTGCCGTCCTCCAGTGCGTGGTAGGTGCTGTGCACACGGGAGGATTTCTGAGCGACGAGAACGTGTGTTGTTGCTTGCACACTACTTTCAATGTTTTCCTGGTACTAAAACTTTCGAAGACATCAAGAAGGCGTCTTGGAGAACTCGGAACTCATCTTAATAATTGAAATTATGGAAAAGTCTGCATCCGTGGAATCGCAAGTCTCCGCGGGCACAGCGCATTGGCTTCCAACACAGTACAGCGCAGGTATCCCACACACTATTGTAGTTGGAAAGTCATGTGACTTCAGGGGCGTCGGAAGGTATTTTAGTGTGGTACGGTCAGCCATGTGAAGTACAACTTAGTCGTGCGGGAGGGGTGGCTGAGCCGAAAATTTTGAAAATTTAGAGCCAAGATGAGTGCATTTTATTAATTCACGGGGTATCTGTGGCAAAAAGTGGTACGGTCAATACCGTAGTGACCGTACTGTGTCCGACGCCCCTGGACTTGTATACCAGATCTCAGTGGGCCAATGTCTGCCATATTGCTTTTGTGTGGATGACCACGAACACGCAGTCACAGACATGTTAGCGTTAAATATGTCACCTGTTTGGTGGATTGCAGTGGTATGGCACACTCTATCCTTTAACCCGCTAGTGCTTACAATGACTTTGTTATGGTATACCGTGTTTTCGGCAATACTGCCCGAGGCGCGCTTCTAATAGTAGTTTGCGAGCCCTAAATGCTCACCAATTTGGGGAAAATCCATAAAACCCTGAAATGATGCGGCGCTTTTTCCAGACAGGCGGTAGTGAGTGATCGGCGCTAATTTCCGAAAATACCGTATGCAAACAAGCCTTGCTTGATAGTGTAACATGTCCTCCGCTTTGTGACTTACTGTCATTGTCATACATGTTATTAGTACTTGTACATGTGCGAGAGAAGCCAGTGAATATGAAACGTGCGATCAGTTCAGATCTTCCGTATTCCATGAGCTCTCGAGTGTCTGTCAGACTTTTCCTCTCTCTGTTTTGGCCTTAGGGTCGGTCTTGTTTGGACTGTGTCTCTATATAAGTGGTTTGGCTTTTCTTGTCTGTCTGTCTGTCCGTCTGTCTGTCTGTCTGTCTGTCTGTCTGTCTGTCTGTCTGTCTGTCTGTCTGTCTGTCTTCTCGTGTGTCTGTGGGTGGTTCATGCTCTGTGTTGTTGTCCCCATGTCATTGTCGTTGTCTACTACAGCGACGCATTTGATCTTTCCTACGCTGTGGCCATCATGCGCCTGCCTGGCCTGGGTTTCTATCGCCAGCGCAAAGAGGGCGATACAGGTACGTACATGCACTCGTACGTGGGCGTGTAGCAGTGTCACACACCAGTACATACTCTCTGCCTCTGGTAACATACGTTTGCATGATTGGCAGTACTGTAAAAGCAGAAATTAATTTTCAGTGGCTTTTATTTTCGGTAACTTCGGTGCCGAAAATTTGTACCGAAAATAAAACGCACCAAAAATATCAGTACTGTACTAGTACACTTACCTGGAAAACGGGTTTACCGAAAATTTCCCTCCACCACCGATTTTGAAGAATACCGAAAATATAACAACCACTGAAAATTTCTGCTTTTACACTAGCAGTCACTGTCACACCAACAAGCCTACTGATTACATTTGAATCCGTTGAGTTCTTTGTCCATTGGTGTTCTCACATGTTGCTGATTGTACTTCAAGTAATAAAAAACTTTGTGTCGAGTAATATACTACAGGTCTTCCCTCGTTAGCAGACAGCCCCGGGGGGTTCAATTTGTTTGTCTTATAACGAGTATTATCTACTCTCCGGATGTGAACGTACGCATTTTCTGGTGTCAGGGGAGTTTTGTTTCGTTGTCTTCCAATGAGGCTTGTCTTGTAACCGATGTCGTACTAACCAGGGTACACCTGCACCCTCTATCAACCAGCACAATTTTCAGTAGCCATTTTGTCCTCTTCATGCACATTGCAGCTGTAAATCAGATTTGTTAATCCAGCAGTGAGCACCCTCCCTAATCCAGCACCCTCCCTAATCCAGCACAATTTCCGTAGCACAAATGGTGCCGGCTTATAAAGGGACCACTGCACTACTTGAGCAATCAGGAAAGCTAAAAGACCCATTGATAATCTACCCCCGACCTCATGCTCAGGTCAATCCTGAAATCAATGATTTAATCCCCAAACCCCTACTGGGCCCAGCTGTGCACAAACTTGCCATATTTGTATATGACCTGTGTTGTCCATACAATGCGTACAGAATGACTGTCATTGTACGCCCTAGTACTTGTGCCACCTTATGCCTTATACGGTATACATACCACACTTCCTTTTATGGAACATAACTGTGGTGAATGGCCAATGCCGGTGTCTTCCCCGAAAAGAACTATGGCTCTCGCGCGCGCGCGCTCGCGTCTGTGTGTGTGTGTGTGTTTGCTTTTGCGACTTCAATCAGCTGTGTAGTGTAGACTAGGCGAAAATTAGTGGCGGTCAATTCATTAGCCTTGCAAGCTGTTGAATGGTGTAATCCCACCACAAGTTCGTATGTAACATAGCTTGTTCGCTTTCATCGCTTCAGCGATGGGCAGGTGTAAGTAAGTAAGTGTGTGTGTTTGCGTGTCATCGAGTGTCCATGTGTGTGTGTATGTGTGCGTGTGTGTGTGTAAATGTGCCTGTGTGTACCTGTTCACATGTGTATGACTGTGTCTGTGTGTCTGCATCGAGTACAGCAGCGGAAGAAGCCGTGGACTCCGTTGGCAAGCGTTTGGCAATGGCGACCGAAGCATCTAGCTTAGAGAACATTCCGCGGGTAAGAGGTCACCACTTTGCTAGTACCGTAAAGTCGCGGATAAAAGCCAGGCTTATAAGCACATAAGCCGCTTTCTGCATCAGGCTTCAATGCAAACCAGGCTTGTATGTAAACCATGCTTATATGCACCACTGGTATTTTTGCCAGGCTTGTACGCACGTCGACTGACCTTCTACGCGTAGATCTACCACTGACTACCGGTATGGCGGCAGGTGTACTATGCACCGTACATAGCGCATGCAGTCTTGACCTACCTGATCCGCGCTTGCATAGAAGCCAGGCTTCTACGCGTGACAGGCTTATATGCATTTGACCCGTTTGATTTTCAGGCTTCTATCCGCGATGTGCTTGTGTATGCAAACCCGGCTTTTACCCGCGACTTTACGGTATCACGGTCTGATCTACTCTCCTCCCACCACTTTAGAAGCTGCATCTGCGCCTTGATCCTCGAGGGTGGCGGTGTTCCTACGGATGTGGAAAACTCGGTCTCTACCCGAGTGTCACGCGATCCATTTGTGTATGTGCGTGCGTGTATGTAATATGTATATGTACATGTTGCATGTGTATAAGTTATATGCGTGTGTATGCGTATGTGTGTATGTGTATGCGTGCATGCATCCGCGCGCATGTGTATATGCGTGCGTGTGTATGTGTGTGCATGCGTATGTGTGTATTGTGTGTGCCCACTCCACAGGCAGCCAACTACCAGCGCGACACGGATGAGGTCAGGTTCACCGAGCCCACCGCGTCGTCTGGCAACGTCAGCTCGGGCGAGGTAATCTCGACGTCGCGTACGTCCTCCGCTAACCGCACTAATATTGTTGCTGCCGGTGCCACTGCAGCAACAGGTCAGCAACAACAACAACAGCAGCAGCAGCACGAAGCTAGGCAATCACGTCGCCTGCAAGCCCGTCACAACACCGTCGACACCCAGTCGATGTTCTGCCGTGGCAAGAAGATGACGGGCACGATCGATGTCTGGTGGTTACATGACGATGGCGGTGAGTCTAGTGTGCACCCGTTGCTTCTACGGTGATGCTCGATGAAATCCGGTCGCATCACTCAAGCCTGCGCCTTGTAGCATTTCGCAGCCCAGTGTTTGCAGGTCTATGGCTGTGCAACGCCCGGCGTGTACTTGAGTGACGCAACTGGATTTCATTGAGCAGCAGCACTGTACATTCTATTTATACTGACAATCGACTAGTATTACTATGTAGCCTAGACCTGTAGCATGAAGCAGAACTCCATACGGATATGGGTTTAGAACAGTCCCATGTTGTCACTTAAATCCTTTCAATGTCACAATTTGGTGAAAAGAAAACAGATCATGTCACAGGGTGTGTCCATACAGCAGTGTAACACTGTAGCAGCGATTCATGGCTCCCATGCATTATCAAGAATGGCATAAACGACGAATTTCACGTTCCCAAACTGGTGCAAAGCAGCACACTCTGGCGAATGTGCCGTAGAATATATACAGCAGATCCCCCTCTTCCCCTCTCCCCCTCCCCCTCTCCACCCTCCCCACTCCCCCCTCTCTACCCTCCCCTCTCCCCCCCCCCCTCCCAGCAGGGGTAGTAGCCAAAGGTACACAGCGTGACGTTGCGCCCTCCTTCACGTTTCGGCTGCCACTTTGAAAATCGAAAGCACTACAGTGCAATGCATGGAGTGACGCGTACACATCTCTGTTTTCCGTATGCATGATACATTGCGTCAAGAGTACATAACCAAGAGTGTGCAACTCCTATCTTGGGCTGCGATGGGTTCACCCACGGCGGAATTTTTTTATTGCGTCATTCTTTGGCAGAAGCATGACGAAGTGGGTATGCTTTCCCGCGCTTGTTTTGTAGATACGGTGAGGGTTCGTCAGGTTCAAGACACATCGATCTATCGTCCGTTATTCTGCTTCGACTACCGTAGCTGTAATGTACAAATCATTTGCACTTTGATCTCTGGCTACGCATGATGGCATCAGTGAGCCAAACCGCCGCCAAAGACTGATGTCATAAAAAATTCCGCCGTGGGCTGGGGGATCGTCGAGTTGCACACTCTTGGTAATGTACTCTTGATTGCGTACATGTAGCCTTGTAGTCTTGTTGCCCTGTAGGCACTAAAGAGTAGATCGCCATGCCTGTTCATTGCTGCACTCGAGTAACACTAAAAACGTGTGTGCGTGTGTGTACGTGTGTGTGTGTGTGCGTGTGTGTACATGTGTGTACATTTGTGTGTATTTATGCATGTGTGTGTGTGTGTGTACATGTGTGTGTGTGTGTGTGTACATGTGTGTGTGTGTGTGTGTGTGTGTGTGTGTGTGTGTGTGTGTGTGTACGTGTACGTGTGCATGAATATGCTTGTGCAGGATTGACGATATTGCTGCCGCATCTCATGACGCTCAGCAGTCAGTGGCATTCATGCAAGTTACGTGTCTTCACCAGCGGATCCAGTCAGAAGATTACGTCAGAAAGGCTTCGGTAAGCTCTCTCTCTCTCTCTCTCTCTCTCTCTCTCTCTCTCTCTCTCTCTCTCTCTCTCTCTCTCTCTCTCTCTCTCTCTCTCTCTCTCTTCTCTCTCTCTCTCTCTCTCTCTCTCTCTCTCTCTTTCTCTCTCTCCCGACACTTCCACTTGCCTCAGTTGCATGTGCAATAGCGTTGGTCCATCAGGCCAAGTTGACAAACATACTAATTTCTAAAACGTGTTCCGCTCTACTACTGATATTTTGTTCGTTGGCTCATTTCCCACCATCTGTTTATCCCGTCATGTGGGTTGCTGCTATTGTTGCTGCTGCTGGGGCTGCTGCAGCCACTGCCACTGCTGTTGCTGCGGCTGCTGCTGCTGCCATCGAGGAGGATGGTGTTTCTCTGCTCTTGTTGCCGTCACGGTTTATGCTGCTGCCGTGGTGTGTGTTGCAATTGCTGCTACCCCTGCCAGCGCAATGTCTGTCGCTCTCTTGTGCCCGCTGTTGGTATTCGTGATCGGTTTCTTGCTGCCATTGCCATTGTTTTGTTTTCTGTGCTTGGTCTGTTGACAGTATGACCACGTTGCTGAATAAGTTCCGTATTGAGTTCAGCAGTGTGGAGATTATCACCGATATGAACAAGTCCCCCAGCGCTGACAGCATGGAGCGAGCTGACCACTTGCCTGGCTGGAGTGAGGTGCAGCCCAATGACCACAGCAAACAAAAGGTAAGCTCTCCTAGAAAGTCGGCATGTGTCTACTTTTAAAACTCTTTCCCAACTGGATTTTTTGACTGGCTGACCAGTGGATGCATAGTAGTGTCCGGTGATTACTTCGAAGTCATGAATGTGAGAAGGCAGCAGCTGACACCTTTGTCTGTGAGGTCGGTATTGCACCACCTTCATCTGTGAGGAATGTACGATTACTGCCTGACTCCCAAGTGAGGCACATGATTTATTTGTGAAAGTTCAACATGCAGAGTCGTGTTGTGTAACTTTGCTGTACCTTGTCCACATGCGATCATGTGCGTGTGTGTGTGTGTGTGTGTGCGCGCGTGCGTGTGTGCGTGCATGCATGTGTGTACGTGTGTGTGTGTGTGTGTGCATGTGTGTGTGTGTGTGTGTGTGTGTGTGTGTGGGTGGGTGGGTGTGGGTGGGTGTGGGTGTGCGCGTGTGTGAGTGTGTGCGTGTGTGTGTGCGTGTGTGTGTACGCGTGTGTGTACGCGTGTGTGTGTGTGTGTGTGTGTGTGTGTGCGTGTGTGTGTGTGTGTGTGCATGTGTGTGCGTGTGTGTGCGTGTACTGTTTCCCTGTCTGAACAGATGATGAGGCAGATTCGTATTGGTGAGCTGATTCGCCAGAACTCACGGGGCACCGCTCTTGTTGTTGTGTAAGTTTGCAACACATGGCTATTGTGTGTGTGTACATCTGTGCGTGTGTGTGTGTGTGTGTGTGTGTGTGTGTGTGTGTGTGTGTGTGTGTGTGTGTGTGTGTGTGTGTGTGTGTGCGTGCGTGCATACTCGACTTACCAATGCATTGGTTAGTGCTGTCGCCATTGAGCGCGTTCGCAGGGTGTATTGTATCCTGCTGTATCCAGCTAATGCCGACTGTTTCTGGGGGTGCTTATACGCCACTCCAATGTGCATGTTTGGCCCAAAGCTGCTGCTGTTGCTGCTGCTGCCATTGTTGCTACTGCCATTGCTGCTGCTGCTGCTGCTGCTGCTGCTGCTGCTGCTGCTGCTGCTGCTGCTGCTGCTGGGGCAAACTGTGCAACAATGCTATAGCTAGCATCTAGCAACAAGAAGCAAAATTAGGGGAAATGGACTAAATAAGACTCTGGGCTAGATTGCTAAACAAGAGGATCAAGAGTGGCATTCTGCTGCGGCCAGCACAGCGGGAATGTCAGCCAAAGCTCGGTTGGACCTCGGGTGAGCTGCATGGTGTCCACAGAGGCTAGCATTTGCTGATCGGACAAGAAAGAAAGAGACCCTTGACCCTGATCCAGGCCAGTACTGTAGAGCGGGGTTCTTTTCTCTTGTCCGAGAGCATAGAGGCAACTCTGTTGTAGAGCGCAGAAGCCACTTTCCCGAATCCTCCAGAAGCACTCCATAGGCACAAATGGCGCGTGCTCGATATCTCGGATTTGCTCTTCATACGAGCGCCTCTTCTCGGCTTCGTGTTTCGGGTATGTGGCCGGAAGTGGCTGCTGGCGGTTGGAACGCGCATGCGGGTTAAAGATGCGAACGCCCAGGAACGTCTTCTCAAAACGCCCGCCCTGTATGCCGGATGCTGCCACGTCCAGGCGAGCGCCATCAGCTGAGATTGCTGTGCGAAGACGCAGGGTCTCACCGGTGATTGGTTGCAGGGAAGGTTCACTGCTCACATCATGGGCCACGTCTTTCAGGAGGGATGCTGTCAGGTCACGGATGTCATTGTGACGTATGGAGGGGTCACCAATCGGACAGGACAAAGTATGTTCTGCTGTGAAAGAAACGCAGCATGCGTGCACACTACATGCACTGCAGTGCATGCAGTGTGCACGCATGCTCGTGTGTGGCGCTTCTTTCTTTAGGGAGGTCGCAAAAACGTTTAAAAAATAGTGAATCGTCACTCGTGTGTTGCGGTCGCAGCTCGTCGCAAGCGTCGCAAGTCTTATGTCATGTCGCAGCAACTGGTATAGAGTGGTTTCACATCTATCACATAGCCATACGGGACAGCCATGTTGGGTTCCAAGTCCAGTCAACTACTGCATATATTGGTCTCACGATATCGGCCATGTTGGTTCCACTGCTCCCATGACCTGATCACCTTCTGCTGCGCAAATTTAGTCACGTGATGAAGATGTGAAGCCACTCTATTGTGGGTCGAACTTTAGTTGCTTGGCACACTGTGGTTGCCAGTTGCCTCCTTAGCGCAGTAGGCAGCGCGTCAGTCTCATAATCTGAAGGTCGTGAGTTCGATCCTCACAGGGGGCACTTTCTTTTTTTTTTTCTTTTTCTTGTTCAAGATCAGTGTTGTTGGACAGCATGAGTGTCACTTTCTCTGTAGTGTGCAAGGGCCCTTGGTGTGTACGTAATCTATTCACCTCGTACTGAGAATAGAACGTGTTCCTATCGTCAAGCCAACCGACGTGTCTGTACCAATGCCGTCTTCGCTTCCTCTTGAAGTTACTATTTTTGTCTTTGTTTTCTGTGTATGTGTGTGTGTGTGTGTGTGTGCATGCGCGTGTGTGTGTGTGCATGCGCGCGCGTGTGTGTGTACGTGTGTGTGTGTGCATGTTTGTGCGTGTGTCTGCATCTACAGGACCCTACCGGTAGCACGCAAGAGAGAAGTGTCCAACACCATGTACATGTCGTGGCTGGAAGCTCTGACTATGAATCAGTCAGTGCCCATTCTACTTGTGCGTGGCAACCAGTCCAACGTCATCACTTTCTACTCTTAGCTCCCACTCTGCTCCCATTGAAATGATGTCACCTCGCTGGCCTAGCTACGTCATCGACGATGTCATAGGTTTGGAGTATTGTTCGCTAGTACTGTTTTCTCTGGTGCCATGGTGGCGTTCCTGTATCCATGGCAATGATGGCTGTCAGTCCCCATGAGTGATTACAGCTAATGGCAAGCTGGCATGTCGCTGTTATCCAGCATATTGATAGTACAATGTACGTTTATGTGTACATGTGCGTGGTAAAGGCTGGTGGTAAGCTGTGTGCATTTCTCGCTGCCGCCAACCCAGCCCCGGTCCCAGGCGTGTGTCCGGAAGCCGGTGATGGAGGACGAAGCCCGATTCTAGCTTTTTGCAAGGCACGAACATTCGTATGTGTGGGTGTAGGTGTGGGTGTGTGCATGTATGTGTGGGTTTGTGGATGTGTTGTTTGTGTGTGTGTACGTGTACGTGTGGATTTGTATGTGTGTGTGTGTCCCGTATGCTTTTTCTGTACCATGGCCCACTAGTACATCCGCTTCATTTCTTTCAATTCAGCATGTGTGTCTGTCGCACACTGCACATGCATCGGCACTTTCGCCAAGCGCATGTATTTTCTTCTCCCGTTGTTGTCCCTTGCCACTTGTGTGTTGCGTAAGGGTGTGCATGACAGTATGGTGCGTGTCCTATGGCCTTGTTAGTTTGTCCTATGGCGTTGTTGGTTTGTCCTATGGCGTTGTTGGTTTGTCCAAGGCCGCAGACCGCAGCTTGTGCTGTGTCTCTTTTACCCTTAGTCGCACTAGCTCCCCACATGCACGCACACCACCCTTGCACGCCCTGGGCCACCATACAGTCCATATTTTTTTCTCTTCTTCTTGAACCTAGGTACGATTTGTCATCAACCGCTCTCCTCCGCTCTCCTTCCCAGAAACAGTGCATGTAAAGGGCCAGCCACACGACAAGTGGCAGCCTGACTAAGTTACATGTACGCGTTTCGTCGTATACAATGAACGCTATCAATTTCTCCCCGAAAGCTTTCGCTCCTCTAACATCTCAACCTAACGAAATTATGCCTCCAAAACGCTTTTCTGACGAATCCAAATAGGAATTTGATTTTATTCTGACGTCTCTCACAAGTATGGCTTCCTTTTCTTGCTTTTGTATGCGATATGCATTTCATCTTGCTATGCATTGCAGCGTTTATCGAAAATTTAATGTAACTTGTGGTGCTTCTGGTGTTGGTGTGGTGGTGGTGCGGGGTGGTGCTGGTGCTGGCTGGTACTGCTGTTGGTGCTGGCGGGGGTGCTGTTTTGGTGGTGGTGCTCCCGCTGCTGCTGCTGCTGCTGCTGCTGCTGCTGGTGGTTTTGGTGCTGCTGCTGCTGCTGGTGGTGGTGGTGGTGGTGCTGCTGCTGCTGGTTTTGGTGGGGTCCTGGTGTGGCTGATGGCGTCTGTGCTAGTGATGCTAGTGATGGTGGCACCATAATATTATTGTCCATAAATGCATTGGTGCCCCATCTGATGCAGTTTTGTTTGTGCATATTAGCAAGAGTACATAACCCCTTGTTATGTACTCTTGCTGTTAGTAGTAGTAGTACTAGTAGTAGTACAGTCACAGTGTAGTGTCAACGCCACCATGCCAGCCAGTTAGCTACTTCGAGTACTTGAAACTTGCTGTGAAAATGACAATGTGTAAACTGTGCTGGCCATGCGCATGCTACTGGTGTATCCAACTTTTCTTCTCATCTCATGATGGCCGCCGGTGGCCAGAAAGACAAAAGTGTGCAAGGGGAGAAATAGTGAGGCAAGGTTAAGTGGACGTTCTTGTTCTTGCTGCTGCTGCTACTGCTGCTGGTGTTTGTTGTGCTGGTTGTGCTGGTGGCGGCGACGGCGATGCTTTTGAGCACTGGTGCTAACATTGGTGTGCCGGTGGAGCTGGTACTGGTTGTGTTCCAAGCCTGCTGGCCTGTGTCGCTTACTCATTTTCAAGATGGATTAGTATTAGTATTAGCATTGGACTTAATTATGCTGATAATTGTCATGCACACTGAGTCTGATGCATGGGTGGCTCTGGCATTTTATTTATTTCTGCACCTCGTGGCATGTCAAGACAGCCAATTGAATTGAGGAGAGGGTGAGACCAACCACGGAGCATACTAACTATGCTGGTGGCAGATTTGTAATCACATGTAAACCAGGGAGTCGTATTCTACTACCGGTACTCCCTGATCAGGCCTGATGTAAATTGCAAAGTATTGGCCTGTGAAAATCGACGTCATGAGCTGAGAGAGGTTTTGCATTCCGAAATAGCGTACACTTTTTTTACCCTTCAAGAACACTGCTTTTGTAATGTATAAAGGTCGCCATGGCAAATAATAATGAAACAATGCACAATAATATTATTGTGCACAGGGAGTCGTAAAATACCGGGAGGCGACACGAGATGCACAACCGCGTCGCGTCGGATGATTGACTCAGCTCGTATTTTACGACTCCCTGATTGTGCATTGTTTCATTATTATTTGCCATGGCGACCTCCATAAGTCCACGTAACTGCCAAGGCAGGGTTGCAATGGCCTATTCTATTAATTCTCTTAAAAATATACAATGTAAAGAAATGAGTCGGCAAAACTCCGGCCGGAGCCGCTTATGAACGCTAAGTATATAGCGGAACCCTTATTACACTCATACCTCGTTTATCCGGGCAGTCCGGGACCTTGCACTGCCCGTAACTTTGAAATGTCCGTAACTCCGAATCATATACATCTTGATGGGGAAAAGGCCATCGATATGGCATATGACGTCAATATTTCTACGAAAAGTGACAAAAGAGTAGTAATAATTATTTCCCCTGAAACTCGCCCAAATAGTGCCCGGTAACCGAAGTGCCCGTAACTTCGGGGTCCGGATAACCGAGGTATGAGTGTACATGTATGCGCGCTATGTGCTTGTATTTTCTTGCTACGACAATCGCAGCACATTACAAGGAAGGCTTACACTCATCGTGATCGTGTTCGTCCTGACAAGAAGGTTTATGCCTCACCTAACTGTAAGCAGTGAGTGTTCAATAGTAAAAAATAAAAAATAAAAGTCCTTCCACTCCACATCCGTAGACCTACGAGGCTACGTGTTGCTCAGTGATAATTATCTTCTTCAAAAGAACTAGCGCCGCGGCGTTGCGCGGCCCTGCAGCATCAGCGAACGCTGCACAGTACACGAACACGGCGCTGGTCCGAGCGAATTGCGCGCATTTCACACACCAACGCGTGTTGTATTTGGATCCTGCTTCCAGTTCCAGGTCCGAGTCTCAGACTCTGTGCGGTGAATAAGCAAACCGTGATGACTGTGACCCGCAGAGCTAGGGTCCAGGACCAGGACCTAGGGAGTCACAATAAACTAGTAAAGTAGTTACTTCCTGGTAGATCTTCTGTAGATCTACATGGTAGACGTACTCGTTGTCAGGAAATGTTTGCTTGTGCTACTTCTCATCCAGTTGACTTCTTATTATGACTTTGTACGGTATAATTTTGTTGAGCTCCGGTTTTCCCCTTCATTCTAACTCAAGTGCAGTTTAGCGTGTATTGGCTTGTGATTTCCTTTCTTCTGTTTGCTTGGCATTTTATCGCTCCACAGGTACTAGCTAGGTACCCTCGGTCTCAGGTGCTCTCACATTTGTGCAATTGTTGATTTTGGTCCTGAATTGTCCTCCCTGTTGCTTTGCTACCGTCCTCCTCCTTCCTCCACCTTTTTTTTCTTAATTGGCCTCATTATGGCATTCGCTTCCATGTAATTGGGCTTGTAGCCCGTGTGTACTTGCGAATTCAAATAAAAACATACATACATACATACATACTACATGTACATGGTAGACTGGTCTACCCCGCAGAATCTACCATGGACTACTCTACGACTCTCTGATATGTGTGACCATCATGTCTGGCGAGAGTTCGTCGCTCGCACCTATGCAAACTGGCCGACACTGTGAGGGGTGAGGATTTGCGCGCTTTTGCAGACAGAACCCACAGACGTTATCTAACCTCGAACAGTGACTCGACCAAAGAGAGCTGAAACGGTATGCATCGCCTGTGGACTAGGCAGTTCTCTGAAACGATATGCAAGTAACTTGCAGGTCTAGAGTGTCCTTCTTCTCCTTTTCTACATGAGAAGAGTTTTAAAGAAAAGTTACATCCTGAAGACGGAGGCGGAACACGGATTGGTTTGGCGAAGGAATACTGTGGAAGCAGAACGCTGCAACCCACGTACGTCCACGGACCGGGAGCTAGCGGCGCATAGAAGCCAAGCCAGACCGCCAAGCCGACGGCAACTACTCCTAAGTCTTGGTACTTGAGCTTCCACAGTAAGTTAGTATTATTCTGTGCTTGAACTTGGGCAGGTTGACACGACGGGGATAGCGACGTTTTCTTTTCCGAGTCCCTATCCTTCCCGTTGTTAGCCAACAAGTAAAAAGTTCTATAAACTGTATTTTTGTTTGGTGTCGCAACAATACTTTACCTCACGACCTGACCCGTTTGCCCAGACTGAAATGCACAAACAAACACGTGCTTGGATAGCGGGCGGCGAGGAGATACGTCGAAACGGACGCGTCTTCTTCCGTGTCGAAGCTAGCTGGCTATTTTCAACGTAACCTGATGTACCCCTGTATGGCAACTTCCCCCTGTCTAACCCCTAAGACAAAGTGAATACTGTCATGGTCATACTGGCCGAAAAAACCTGATGTGCAGTGCTGGCAACTGAAATCCGACCCCCTGAGCGGTGTGCTCACATTTGTTTGTTTGTTTCTTTTATTTGAATTCGTTTAGAGCACAGGCAATTCTGCCTTCTCACCAGAGGAAAAACCTCCGGTTCCTGCTAAGAACGAATAGAAGGAAATATTAAAAAGAATCATAACAGTCATGATAATTCCAAAGCACAAAGTTTGTATATAATTCAAATGGGTGTGTATGTGTAAGCATGCAGTGAAGAAAACACAGAGAAAACATGCAGTAATGTGTAGGGATGCCACATCGCAAAGAATGTGAACCCATCGCTCTCAGGGGGTCGGATTTCAGTTGCCAGCACTGTATGTTCGACGAGCGCACTGAGCGTCCCGGAAAATAGGCCGATGCGGCACATGAGAATAATACCGTGTAACTGTTACTACATGACATGTAGTACCAGTTACACGGTATACATTGTATACTGTAGTAGCAAGAGTACATAACCCCCCAGGGAGGTTATGTACTCTTGCTACATGTACTACAGTGCTACTGCTCAATGAAATCCAGTCGCTTCACTCAAGTACGCGCCGGGCGCTGGACAGCCATAGACCTGCAAACACTGGGCTGCGAAATGCTCCAAGGCGCAGACTTGAGGACTTCATTTAGCAGCACTGTAGTATGCTCAGTACAGTGAACGACGTCGTTCGGGGGGGAAGTTGTCTTTGAATGTAGCCAGCTAGTTTGGACAAGCACGAAGGATAGCCGCGAGAGAGAGAGTGTGTCACCGTCTGTCTCCAGTCTTGCTTTCTGTCCAAGTCTGTTTTCTGTGTGTGTTTCAAGCCTGTGGTGTCTACCATGGTCTACATACCCCCCCCCCCCCCCCCCCCCCAGGAGGTGGACCAGCTATGCGCCATGGCGCTGGCATGTGCGACTCCAGAAAAGAGGGACAGGGCGTTGAGGGGAGGGGGGGGGGGATTATACTCATAATATCTCACCTCTTGTAGAAGCCAGGCTAAAAGCATAATGGGCAGTGTGTGCGTGTGTGTGTGTACGCGTGCGCCCCGTGCATGTGTGTGTACGTGTGTGTACATGTACGTGTGTGTGTGTGTGTGTGTGTGTGTGTGTGTGTGTGTGTGTGTGTGTGTGTGTGTGTGCATGTGTATTTGGAATACCTATTTTGTATGTGCATGTACAACTGCCCCTACGACCAGAATGGTTATGGGTTATAGATACATACATACATACATGTACAACTGTCCGGTGGGTGCACATAGCTTCAAGTGCTGGTGTCCATGGCCATGGGTGGAGATTGAACACTCTGCCTGTACTCGTCATCAACACGACCTGAACCTATATCCTCTAGCTGATAGTATCTACAAGTTACACAGGTATGTGTGAGTGGTCATCAGATACTGGTATGCATGGTAAGTACACGTACATGTATGGTTTTCCTTCGTTTGTTTGTTTGTATTTATTTTGATTCACAAATTCAAATGGGCATAGAA